ATTTTTATTGTGATTTGGGTGAAAGTTTACAGAGCAAATTCATTTTCCATACAGCAGTTCATACACATTTAGCTTCATGACAAAAAAAAAAAGAAATCAAACTCACTGCTGTCGAGTCAGATCCGACTCATAGTGACCCCTCCTTGGGTTTCTGAGGCGGTATCACTACGGAAGTAGATTGCCCAACCTTTCTTCGGAGGAGCAGCTGGTGGGTGGCTGGTGGGTTTGCCAGCCTTCCAGTTAGCAGTCAGATGCCTTAGGCACTACACCACCAGAGCTCCCTTAGCTTCATGTCATTGACTGCAATTCCCCACAGTGTAACAGCTCTCTTCCCACTTCCTCCCTGCAGTTACCTCTTCCCTGTGTCCTTCCCTCCCATGCTCTCCTGCCCTCCCCCCAGCTATCTGCCTATGCAAACACTGCCCTTATGTTCCCCCACACTTGATCTTGATCACTTCAAGGAGTGTATCTACCTGATATAAATGTTCACCCTGTATGCCTGTCTGTTGTTTGACCAGAAGCCTTAGGAATGAGTTCAGTTCCAGACCTGAAGTATAACTAGAGGCCATAGTCTCAGGGGTCTCACCAGCCTCTCTCAGACCAACAAACCTGGTCTTTTTTTTTTTTATATATGATTTTGAGTTTTGTTCCACATTATTCTCCCACTCTTATCTAGGATCCCCTGGTCCGATCCCCCTGAGTAGTTGATAGCCTCCAGTTATATTTATTGAGCACTGTTCTAGGCACTGGCAACATGTGATGAGGAGAAAAAAAATCCACCCTAGCCCTCTTGGGGGAGGCAGACATCAATCCAAGAATCACACAGATAAATGTAAAATTACAATTGTGATGAATACTGTGATGGGAAAGGTCACAGTTCTATGGCAGTGCATAACAGGGGATCCTGACCTATCCAGAAAATAGTGAAGCCTTCTTTAGGGATGTTATGTTTCAGAGTGAAAGAGAGGGAGCTAAATGAAGCAGGGACCACTCTAGGCAGGGGGAACTGCATATGCAAAGGCCCTGTGATGCACTGAAAGAAGCCAAGCCTGTTGGGAGCCCAGAAAGCGAGGGAAGCAGACTATGAGGCTGAAGGATGGGCAGAGCCAGATCACACAGGGTTTTGTCAGCCTCTTTAAAGGTTTTGATGTTCATATAAGAGCAAGAGCAAAGGCTGAAGGCTCCCTTCTTTCCCTCTCCCTGCTATTTTTTCTCTCTCCTTTTTCCCCACTTCCAACCACATCCCTCTGCTTGGACTGCTGGGTCCTCTGCAGTCCTCCCTCAGCCAGTCTTCCGGTTGCTCCCGAGTTCCTCATCCTTCTCTCACCACCAGTTTTTTTTTTTTTCTATTTGAAAAGGACTTCAGAAGTCATTGAGTCCAGTCCTGTTATTTTACATACGGTTATTTTATACGTGGCTATTTACATATGGTCCTTGGATGGTGCAAACTATAATGTGCTCAGCTGCTAACCCAAAGATTGGATGTTCGAGTCTATTTACAAGTGCCTCAGAAGAAAGGCCTGGGGATCTACTTCTGAAAAATCAGCCATTGAAAACTCTGTGGAGCACAGTTCTGCTCTGACACATACTGGAGTCGCCATGAGTCAGAATCAACTCGTTAGCAATATGTGGCCATTAAATTTTCTAACACGTTAAAAACAAGCCTTTATTTTATTCATTTATTTATTTAAAAATTTTAAATGTTAAATCGCTTATTTTATTATTATTATTTTATCACCCTAAACAGAAACTCTGTAACCCTGACGCAGTAACTCCCCATTCCCCTAGGTGGCTGTTTAAATTTAATTAAAATTAAGTAAAATTAAACAAGCAGTTCCTCAGCTATTCTAGCTACATTTCATGTGCTTGGCATCCATACATGGTAGTGGCTTTCATATTGGACAGCACAGATATAGAGCATTTCCATCACTGCAGAAAGTTCTATTGAACAGTGCTGGGAAGAAGTGAGCAAAACTTGCTGGTACTTAAGCTTAATATGGGAGCTCTGGTGGTGTAGTGCCTAAGTTATTTGACTGCTAACCGAAGGCTGGCAGTTCAAACCCACCAGCCACTCCTCGGAAGGAAAATTGGGCAATCTACTTCTGTAGATTATATACCGCTTATATAAGAAAAATCAAAGGAAAGGGATGATGAGAGTGATTAATCCAAATAGCTACGGTCCCTGGGTGGTGCAGACAGTTTGTGTTTGACTACTAACCAAAAGGTTATTGGTTTGAATCCACCCAGTGGCTCCATGGAAGAAGGGCCTGGTGATCTACTTCTGTAAAATTACAACCATTGGAAACTCTAAGGAGTGCAGTGCTACTCTGACATGTGGGGTTGCCATGAGTCAGTATCGATCTCACAGCAATGGATACTGGCTCAGTTTGCCCAGGGCCCAGGGTGGGGGTGAGTCATGATCCTCTTTAGCAGACCCTGCTCCCCTCCTGAATTCTGGCTGTAGGCTCCTCCTAGACCTGGGCGCTGGTACCTTCTTCTGTCACTCACTCTTCTCACAAACAGTCATTGCACACCTGTTATGTGCTGAGCATCATTCAGCAGAAAATAGGATATTGTCTTTGGGAAGAAAGATGCTTATACCATTAAAATGCATTGAGGTCAGGGCTTTGAAGAAGTAATGTCTAATCTAAGACCTGAAACATGAGTAGGAATTAGCTAGGTGACAGTGAGGGGGATGGGAAGGTAAAGGGAAAAGTATTCCAGAGAGAGAGAGAGAGAATGGCATGTGGGAACCAATACTCTCATAGTATGTTCTAGCATGTAGAACTACAGAAGAGAGATGAGGCTGGAGTGATGGGCAAGAGCTAACCCATGAAAGGATTTGAGGGCTGAGGACAGTGGGGGGCATGGAAGGATTTGGAGGCATAGGAGGTAAATTTTTCGCTCCCGGTAGATACCCAGTGTTCCCAAGGCCATTGAGACCTGAAAGTCAGCAGTCAGCCAAGTAGATAGTGATTGGCTGGGGGAGGCCAATCTGTGCCCACTTGGCTATTGGGTGGTAGACATGGAAGAGGCCTTTGTGATCATCAAAATCACAGCAGCACATCTGACATACAAAATCTAATTTAAACCTCACCAAAATTCTTTGAGGTAGGTCCTTTTTTTGGAAATGAGAACACTGAGGTTCAGAAAAGTTAAGTAGCACCCCCAAGTGGTGGTGAAGTTGGGATTCAAGTCACTGCTGAACCTAAGGCTGGAGCTCTTAACTCATCACACTCCATTCCAGCCTGCTCTCTGTATGCATCCCACACTCTGGTCATATGAAACCATTCACTGTTTCCTGACCTTGTCCCTTCATACCTGTCTTTTCACATGCTGTTCTTCCTACTAGGCCTACTCTGCCCCACTCTAATAAAGTCCAGCTTGCCCTCAAGACACAGTTAAGCAGTCTCTTCTTTAGGCCTTGGATCTCTCCGATTAGGTTACAACCTCACCCCTTTTCTAACCTCAACCCCCTAGTATGCTACCCCACATAGTGGGCTGTTTCTCCAAATGGAATCTCATACCCCAAGGGAATTGGTATGTGTGTGCCAAGGGCAACCCAAGGCCACAGGATAAACCTTGACCATCCGTTCTGTTACGTGATCTAGTGGATAAGGCTAGATGACTTGTACACTTAAAATACCTTTTTAAAAATTAACGCAAACATGGATGCAATGCGAGAAGAATGTAAAATTTGCATGAGTTTTGAAGGTAAAATATGGAGACTTCAAAGACATTTTCAGGCTGGCTGCTTTTGGCAGTGCCCCCAGGTTCTCCCAAGGGATGCAGTCGCTTGCCTTTGCTGATGGACAACTTGCTGGAAAAATCTGGGAAGCTCAGGCCTACGGAAGGTAATGATTTATTTATGTTTCTGTCTCCCGCACCAAGTCGGAAGCTCCCAAGGGCAGGACTAGATCTGATTCATCTGTGAGTCTCCTGCACCCCAGCAGAGAGCTGAGCACACAGCAGATGCCCTTTGAATAGTAATAATGATAATAATAGTAACAGTAATAGCTAACACTTATCTGCCAGGCACTGTTCTAAGTGCTTGATATGTATTCGTTTAGTCAGTCCTCACAACTCTATGCTGTATATATTAATAATCATCTTCCATTTTTCAAATAAGGAAATCAAGGTACAAAGAAGTTAAGAGTCTTACCCAAAGTCGCACAACTAGTTCGTGAGTGGTAGAACCAGGATGTTGACTTAGTTCGTCTGGTTCCAGAGCCCACACTCAGGCTACATTGCCCCTTTACTGAATGTTTACTAAATGAATGAATAAATGAATCTGAACTTGCCCCAAATAATATTTAAGAAGTCTGTGTAATAACAACAAAACAACACAAATGCTCAGGTTCCAATATTAAGTGAAGAAATCATTAGTGAAATGTTACATGCACTTTGACTATAATTATGGATGCATAGAAAAAACATTGTCAGGAACTATGTATGTCCACATTCCCATAGGCAGTAGTCTGGATGATATCTTACTTCATTTCTCTATCCTTCAAATAGTGATGTTATGTTACTTTTATAATGAAAGAAACTACCATCCTGATTATGAGTTAGAAAGTAAGTCTTTGCTAGGGAAAAAGGAAATCTATGGGCATATAGATTTCTCTGCAATCTTTTCACTTAAATTCTTTTTTTTTTTTTTTTTGGTCTCATCTTTTTACTTTCAGTCCTTCTGAACTACTTTGTTTTTAGCTGAGTCTCTTCTATTCAGTATATATTCAGCTTATTTTTTTCTTTTTTTCAGTGCAATGAGGGAATACATTTCTTTTAATTAGTGAATATTTCTCATTTATGTTTATTGATACATGTTTGATTTTAGTTCTGTCATTTTATTTTATGACACTTTTAAAAATCATTTTATATGTGGTCTGGATTTTCATTACTTTATATTTTTTTTCTTCTGAAAATTTGGAAACTTACTCTTCTATTTTATAATCTGTCATTTATTAAGCACTTACTATGACCAGGCACTGTGCTAGTAACTCTTACATTGTTATATAATTTTAACCTCCCAATAATACTATAAAGAAGGTGCTATTGTTACCCATTATTACACCCATCTTACAGGGATGAAATGGAGGCTTAGAGAGGCTAAATTGCTTAAAGTCACAAGATCAGTAAGTGGTGGAGCCAGGATCACACCTAGGTCTGATGCCAAGGCTTATGCCTTAACCAGTGTGCTATAGGCCATTCTCTCTTTCACCCAAACTCAAGGCCTGGGCTGTTATTCCCAGGAAGAGGGGTTGGAGTAGTCTTCTGGTACTCTCTCCACTTTTATTTGTGTAACCTCTTTATAGTGGGACCTGGCCAGTACTGAACCTTTCACTTCCTCCCCAAAGCTCAAGTTCATCCAAGAGTGGTCTTGACTACCCTTGGGAAATCAGTCTTCTGTCCAGGTCCCCTAATTCTCCCCCAACCCCACTCAGCTCCCTTACCTGGCCACTTGGTTGATGACAGGAGCAAAGTAAGTGGGTCCATAGAGCTGCACTGTACGCAGGCTCTGGAAGTAGCTCTCCAGCACACCCTCAATGCCAGCACAGTTGGGATCCTCATCATTGTTGTTCTGTCAGGGAAGACGCCCTGCCAGGCTGAGCCCGTGCAGGGTACACCCAGGAGTGCTCTGATCCCAGTTTACTCCTTCCTGTTCCCATCACCCACTTTCAGGCTCCCCTTCGAAATCCAGCCCTGCTCCCCTCCCTGCTCTGCTACTGTCTCATAGTTTCCTGCTCCTTTACAGGTTCTTGACCTTAGAAGAAATGTAAATAGAGGAAATTCATCAGCTTGGGTGGGCCATATCTCATACCAGGGGGAACTGGTGAGAGATCCGTCCCTCTGGAGGCAGCTTGGCCCCAAAGCCGTATGCTGGGAAGAGTTTGTCACTGTCATAGTCCTGGATGATCTCTCCCACTGCCTTGAGGGCCATGGCATAGGCGCTGAGCTGGTAGGGACTCATGTAGTGCAGGGAGGTGGGTTGCAGGGGATTCCCTGTAGGAACATGGGAGTCCCATGATCAACTGGTTCATCCTTTTGTTCACCTGCCTGCCCTTGTTTGCATCTGTCTACCTTTTCATTCATGCACCCTCTACCCGTATCCTCCTTCATTATTTCATCTGTTTATCAGTCTGTTCATTTATTCGTCTGTCTACTCACCCATCTCTGTATCTATCCATACATTTTTCCAACTACCCATCTATCCATCCATTCATTAACTTGGACATCCATCTACCTTTCAATCCACTTATCCATCTCTATCCATCCACCTCTTCATTCTCTTATTTAACTCACTACCCACCTATCCATTCATCCAACCATCTGTTCACTTGTCCATTTTTATTCTTTTACCCACTCAGCCATCCATCCCCATGCATCCCATTCATTCACTCAACTATCTATCCTCACATGGATCTATCTACCTGTTCACTCCTTCACTCCCCATCTACTTACCCATTCTTTCACCAACTTAAATATCTGTGCATCTGTCTACCCCTCTACCCATGGATATGAACCACTGGTCCAACCTATTGTACTCACTTGGCCATCTGTCTACTACCCACCCTGTTTGTTCATCAATCTACCTGTTTACTACCTATTCACCTATTATCTTCTCTTACACCTCCATTCATTCCCATCCATCCATTTACTCATCTACTTGTTGAGTCATCTACCCTTTCAAACTTCTTTTATTCATCTACCTATTTTGCTATATTCTTTGCCCACTCTTCCACCCAATTATCTCCCCACAACACCCCTACTCCAGTACCAGCCTGGTTGAGATGTGCCTCAAGCCTGGGCTTCCTGGGTAGGTGAACCTTTTTCCCCAAGCAGGGCTCCAACCCCTAATGACTCCCTTATAACTCTGCACCCATTTCTGCTTCCCCATCCATGTCTCACCATTGGAAGCTGTGAAGTCAATAGCTACTGTGAAGTTCAGCTGTGTCCTGTTGGGGAAGTAGATGGCTTGAGAAGTGAGGGACTAATACTTATTAGACCAGTATTTCTCAAATATTAATGTGCATGAAAATCATCTGGAGGTCTTATTAAATGCAAATTCTGATCCAGAAGGTCTGAGTGAAGCCTAAGATTATGCATTTCTAACAAACTTGCAAGTGATACTGATGCTGCTGGTCCATGGACCACACTCTGGGTAGCAGAGTATTAAATGCCTATTGTGTACCAAGTGTATTATATGTAATTTAATCTAACCCTTACTATAGTCCTGAAATGGTAATTAACAGACCCATTTCACAGAGGAGAAAATTGAGGCTCAGAGTGCCTTTTCTAGTTTAGGCAGACCTCCGCTGATCTAAGTGGAATATCTCCTATAGTCTGGCTTTTCCTTCTCTCTAGCTTCTCCCTCTTGGTTGGTCATAGCTTTTGTCTGGGTCCTAGTGAAGTTACTGGGGCCACTGTTAAAGATCACTGACTTGGCATCTTCCTGGGGGAGGGGAGGAAGAGGACTGGAAGCTAGGAATGTAAGACAGCCCCATGAAGAGAACTAAGAGTGGCAGTACTTCACAGTTTACAGAACACTTCATAGGTTTCCAAGTATTTCAGAGTTTACCTGCATGATCTCATTGGATGCTCAACATTCATAAATAAGAAAACCGAGGCTCAGAACTGGGAGTAACTCAATGCTGGGCTTTTAGCCCAGAGGTTGGCCTATGACTCACCCGCCCTTGATGTAGTCAACAAAAGTGAATTCAGAGTCCACAGAGAAGGAGAGCAGCGTCACCTGTGGGACAGAAGAGGCAGCCCTGGCACTTGGTAAAGGGCAGTGGGATGGCAGAAGGGAGAGAGGCATTGTAGAGCTTTGGAGAGAGGCATATGATGGGATGGACATGATTTCCACCCCTGATCCCATCCTGCCTTGCGAGGAAAGAAGAGGAAGCTGTCAGAAACATATTTGGATTTCCAAAAGCATATTAAATTGGGAAATACAGCTTAGGGTTCTTTTAATTCTGCGACAGAGTAAGGATCACAAATTTTCCATCCGGTGAGACAAAGAAAAGAAATACTTAAATAGTGCCACCTTGTGCCCTTCGCTACTACTGTATCCAAGTAATCTGTGCCCACTACCTTCCCTCACCCCTAATATTTGTCATGCTATTTCAGTGGGCATGGACACAGAAGGATCCAGGGAAGACCAGGGCTCCAGGGAGCACTCACAGTTCCTGAGTTGACATATTTCTTCTTCTTACACTTCTTCCGAGGATTAAGTACCTAAAGGAGGAAGATGACTGTGAAGGTGGAAACAGAAGAAGGGATGTGCAGATTGTGTACTCAGGGATGTCAGTCTGGGCAGCCTGGCAGGACTAGAGCTCTTACCTCATACACTGTGAACTGGTTCTGGGCCTTGCTCAGCTCTCGATAGCTGGTGGTGAACTCACCAATGAAATCATGGCTGCAATGAGGCCAGGGTGGGTAAGCAGTAGCTGTTGCTGGTTTGAAGCCGGCCCCAAACCCAGTCTTTATTCCCCTGTCCCCTACCCCTAAGAGGGTCCAAATTAAAAGGAAGGAAAGAGGAGAGATAGTAGCCCAGAGAATAATAGGGGAATCGGGTGTCCCCAGGGTCCTGGCATCTGTACAATGGGGATAGCTATCATCACCCTTGATGGCTCCCAAGGCTGCTCTGGGGTCTCTATGAATGTACTGTATATTAAAAGGGACTGTTTGGGTTAGCTACAGGAAAAGGGGGCTATGTGGGGAAGTTCCACCTTCCATCCCGGTCCCAGTCGTACACATCAATCTTCACTGTTCTGAAATGTAGAAGATAAACATAGGCTGGGTGTGTGTATGACAAATCTCAGAGACACCCCACCCACTTAGCCATACACAAGTCATCTTTCCATCGACCTATCTGTCCTTCCATCAACCTATTAATTTTCCAACCTATCTCCATCCATCCATCCTATTCATTCATTCCTCAGCCCACACAGGTACCCAACCATCTACTGCCACTGCCACTGTTATTACTGCTATTGCTATTACATCGCTATTGAAAAACAAACAACCAGTTGCTAAAGAGTTGATTTTTACCACTATCACTACTACTTTTATCACTGATGGAGTCTTGCTATATTCTAGGCATTGTTCTCGGCACTTTACACATATTGTCTCATTTAATTTAACAACCACTTTACAAAGTAAGTACTATTTTTTAATTGTTGTTATTGTTAGATAAAGAAACTGAGGTTAAAAAAAGTAAGTTGGCATAGTCCACAGCTAGTAAGTGATTGAGCTGAGATTTAAACTCCAAACAACCCAGTTCCAAAGTCCTTGTTCTTAACTACCATTCATATGTCCATCTATCTATATATCAGTCTATCCAACCACCTATCTAGCCATCTACTCATCCATTTGCCAATCCAATTACCTTTTAATCCATCTATTTAGCCACCTACTTAACCCAAGTGATTCCAGTCATTGACGTACTCATTGATATGCAAGTATCCATCTGTCTATCTGTCTATCCATCTATTCAGCCCAAAACCCAACCATGACATCTGTTCATCTAATCATGCATTCATCTGCCTAATAACTCATCTACTCATCTGTCTGTGTGTCCATCCATCCTTCTACCCACCTCCATCCACTCATCTACATACTGCACATTTATTGGTTCATACAGTTAACTTATCCAAATATTTTACACCTATTCATCAACTCATTCATCCACTAATTCATCTATCCATTCATCTACCATCCATTCATCTGTCTTTCCATCAATCCACATGTCACTGCACCTATCCATCATCTGCTTTTTCATTTATCCATCTGCCCATCCATCCATCCACTAAACTTTCATGTGTCTTATCTATCTACTCATCCACTCACTAACTCATCCATTCAGATATCATTTTTCCATGCAGTAATCCTCCCATCACTCCACCTATCCATTCATCTATTTCCCCTCCATCTACCCATCAATCCTCTTGTATAACCATCCACATACCCATTCACCTGTTCATCAGTTTATCTATCAATTTCCCATCTATCCATCCATCCATTCACCCTTCCTTCCATTCATCCATGTATGGATGTGTCTTCCCACTCATTTGTTTGTTTTCTGTTTCATCCACTCATCTGCTTATCCATCCATCCATCCATCCATCCATCCATCCATCCATTTGTCTATCCAGCCACCCATCATTCCATGCATAATCCACCTATCCATCTATGTGGCTCTTCATCTACCTTCCCACCCACCCATCTTCTTACCTAGAACCCTGCCTCACCGATGACCTTCCAACACTGCTGGACACTACTGCCATTGCCCTGGGACCCAGCAATCCCACTTTTGTGCCCTTGTCCCCTTACTCCCCAGATTATGCTGAAGCAGACCTGTCATAGTCTCCATTGCACAGTGCCCGCACAGGGATGCTGAAGGGCTGCCACACAGGGTTCAGTGTGTTTTTCACAACCTCTGTCTTGTGGCAGATGGTGAACCTGGACAGGAGCAAGAGGATTGGGATCTGCCCTAGGGTAGGACTGAATCCAGAGACAGAACCTGCTGCTTTTGGAGACTCTGGGATTCCTCTACTTGTTAAGCATATATTTTGTGCTGCCTCGAGTGAATTCTAAGCTCAGGTCCTGTTAGAGTCCAGGGTGGTAGCCCCAACCCAGCCTAAGAGCCCTCATGGGCCCATGGTCATGAAGTAGGCGGGGAGAGAGAGCAGTAACTCACGTGCCATCCTCATTGCTCCTGTAGAACACAAGGAAGGGATCTGACTTTCCAAAGAAGTCCTTTTTGTCCAGCTTGTTGGCACACAGCTGCATGGTGGCAATGTCCTAGGTATGGATGAAGTTGTACTGTTGACATCCTATTTGCCCATAGCCTTCAGTCATCCCACTAAAGGGAGTTTGGGAAGAAAAGGAAAAGGAGCCTCTTGGATCTAGCATGTGGTCCTTACTAACCCGACAGTTGCTAAGTTCCTCTGCGGTCAGCAAGATGGTCCCACATTTCTTGCCTGGTACACCCCTAGAAACAGAAAAAGCCTCTTGGTAAGAAGGGTTACAGTAGCTAACTAGGACTGGATTGGTCAATATGGACTTTCCCTGGGGATTCAATTAACCATTTGCTGACAGTTCTCTGAGCGTGTCCCCTTCTGTCCTGGGTGGCTGTTGGTGGGGAAGAGCCTGGCTTTGACCAGGGAAGGGTCTGTAGTCTGGTACCGAAAAAAAAACCAAACTCACTGCCGTCGAGTTGGTCTCAACTCATAGCAACCCGTCCTTGGGTTTTCGAGGCGGTATCTCTACGGAAGTAGATTACCCAGTCTTCCTTCCGAGGAGTGGCTGGAGAGGAGTGGCTGGTGGGTTTGAACTGCTAGCCTTCAGGTTAGCAGTCAAATGATTTAGGCACTACACCACCAGACTAGTCTGGTAGAAAGGAGTTAGAAAATTGTAGGTGGACATCTCTTAGTGGTAGTGAGGGAAATAAATGGGATTTAGAGTCAGTGGACTCAGTAGATTTTGTGATTTCCAAGCTGTATGACCCTGGGCAAGTTACTTCCCCCTTTTGGACCTTAGTTTCTCTTCCGTGAAATGGGAATCATGCCCACCTCTTGAGACTGTGAGAAAGGCTAAATGAATGCATGAAAGGAAAAGCAATTTGTAAGCTTTATAGATATGACAGTGGTTATATTTCCCAAAGCAAGTCCTGGTGTCTACTATATGCCAGGAATTGTACTAGGCTCAGAAGACATAGGTACGAATTGGCCAAGGGCTCTGCCTTCAGGGAGCTTCCAGGGGAGGTGGGATGTCAAAGCCAATAGGCATGTGGAGTATGATGTAATATTACAGAATGAGGGAAAGGAATTTTTATCCAGACCCAGGGGCAAAAGGGCTCACTTGTTAGATCAATGCTGCTATGTTTTTTCAAGACTAAAGAGTGAGATAAAAAAGACAAGGAAAGCCTTATCTTTTCCTGACCCTAGAAGGAAGACTTCCATGGGCTTGCAGGGTGAATACAAGGACCCCACCCCAATTTTCTTTGAGTCTCCAAGCATTAAGGGATCTTGTTGACAGGGCCTGAGGGCTTCCATTCCCAAAAGGATCTAAAGTTTGGGAGAGAAAAAGCTAGGTCAGGAGGCTTCTGGATTCAAGTCCTACCTCTAACTCAATATGTGACCTTCCTTATCTTTAAAATGTTGAACAATTTCTTTGACTTCTTCAATATCTGACTCTTTGATTTAAAAAGACAGAGTGTGATGAGGACAGGGATTGTTCCCGGGACCACCAAGTCATTGATCCTACTGCCTTCTCATTGTCCTGCCCTTGCCTGATGTTCTCCCTCACCCCCTTACCCAGTCTGAATTCCAGTCAACAATTTTAATAATCACTCACTTGCCTCTTTTCAGGACCTCTGGTGGCATAGTGCCTAAGGCATTTGACTGCTAACCAGAAGGCTGGTGGTTCAAACTCACCAGCCACTCCTTGGAAGGAAGGTTGGGCAATCTACTTCCGTAGTGATACTGCCTCAAAAACCCAAGGAGGGGTCACTATGAGTCAGATCTGACTCGAGGGCAGTGAGTTGGTTTGGTTTGGTTTTGCCTCTTCTGCTGCCCTTCACTCACTCAGACACTTGTTTGGCAGAATCACAACTCTAGTTAAACTCAGATCTCAGCAAAATCCATACTGTACCCATACAGCTAAAAACACCACAGAAAAACACAATCTTCCTAATTGGTCCCGTTTTAAATCCATGACCACAACTCAAGATGTTCCTGAATGCTGCCTGGTAATCATACTTTATGTTCCTAGTCCATTTGTTCTCCAGTTCTGCTAGATGTCAGTTTCACTCCTCCTCTGTCCTCAAAAACCCCAACACCACCTCCCCAATCCTCACTCTCACTCACTCTCAGCTGATGACCTTGTTTCCTACTTCACTGAGAAAACAGAAGCAACCGGAAGAGGATTACAGACTCCACTACCACGCCTACTCTACCGCCAGCATCTTCACCAACATGCGCTGCCCTCCTCCTTGTTGCTCTAGATGAACAGTCCATGTGCCTATTTGCCACTCCATTGAGCACCGCATTCCACATCCTCTTGCAATTCTCTCCTCTTTTTCTTATGTCAAATTTTTAGTTTCTACTGAGTCATTCCTATCAATATACAAACATGGTATACTTTTTCTCAAAACTTACCTGTTTCTCATATATTGAAAAACAAAACAAAACAAAACTATTTTGACCTCACTTCCTCCTCCAGCTACCACACCATTTTTCTTCTCCTGTTTGCAGAAAAATTCCCTGACTCCAATCCCTTCCCTTCAGTTCTCTTTTAAATCTCTCCAATCAGATTTCAGTCCCACCTCTCCTTCAAAACTGCTTGTCAGAGTTACCTGTGCCCTCCATCATGCTACACATCATAGCCAGTTCTCAGCCCTCACCCTACATGACCTGTAGCAGCATATGACATCCTCCCTGATACACTTTATTTACTTTGCTTCTGGAACATTACCACCTTCTCTTGGTTACTTCATTACTCCTTCTTAGTCTCCTTTTCTAGCTCTTCCTCTTGAAGTTTCAATCTTTGGTCTTCTCTCTCTCTCTATCCACTCACTCCTTGGTAGAACATCTAGGCTACTGTGATTGCTAAGCTTTTAGACATCTCCACTTGGATGTCTAGTAAAACATAGGAGATGCAGTATGTCAGAACTGAACTCCCGATTGAATCCCCTTCTCCCCAACCTACTCCTTTAGTTATTTACCATCTCAGTTGATGGCAACTCCATTGTTCTAAATACCTTGGTCGCATCCTTGACTTCTCTCTTCTTCTCACATCCGTATTCAGTCTGTCAGGAAATCTGTTGGCTCCACCTTCAAAACATACCCAAAATCTAACCACATCTACCCACCCTGGTCCAAGCCACCATGATACCTCACCTGGGTTACTGTAAAGCTTTCTAGTCAGTTCTCTGCTTCTACCTTTGTCAACTCAAGGTTCATTCTCCACCCAGCAGCCATCATCATCCTTTGAAAGCATAAGTCAGATGACATCACTCTTCTACTCAGAACCCTCCAGTGGCTCCCATCTCAATTCAAAGCAATGCTAAAGCCCTCACAGAGGCCTCCTGAGTCCCTGTTCACTGTCCAACCTCACTTCTCCCCTACTTCCCCTTGCTCACTCTGCTCCATTCTCCTTGCTGTTCTTTGAAGGCTCTGGGCTTTTGCACTGAGTTTCCTCTGCTTGGAACACTCATCCTCCAGAAACACTCATCCTCCAGATGCCTGCACAGCTCTTCCCTTACCTCCTTCAGAACGTTGCTCAGAAATGACCTATCAGGCCTACTTGACCACCTTATCCAATATTGCAGTCTCACCCACCCAGCACTAACAATCCCATGTATATATATATATATATATATATATATATATATACACACACACACACACATATGTATTTTATACAATTTATTTGTCTATACTGTATTGTCTCTCTCCCCCTGCCAGAGTATAAGCTCCCTGAGGGCGGGAACCTTTGTTTTGTTCACCATTGCAACACAGTCCCTTGAACAATAGCTGACAAGAGAGTTTGTGCTCAATAATATTTTTGAAATAGATGAGATCCTGGTGCCTAGCACAAGGCATGGCATACAAAACATGCTAATAAGTATTTAGTGAGTGTATGGGATGAGAATTCCTGAGGACAGGATTTAGTCAGAAAGTTTCCCAGAAGAGAGGGGCTTGGAAGTGGACCTTAAAGGTTGAATCAGACTTAGAAAAAGATTGAGGCCTGAGAGTGACTAGGGCAGATCCTGGTAATTGGACTTTCTCTCTAGGATGAGGGAGTAGTGAAGTCCCCTGACCAGGGGAAATTCCAGCTTTGAGGGCTATTAGCCAGTAGTGTCCTTGGGAGGGAGGATTTGGAGGTGCCTGCCACTCCCCTACACCTTTTCCCTTTTGGCTTACGTGAGGAGTCTCTCAACTCGGCTTCCCTGGCCTCCAATCACCTCTCCCAGGGCCAGAAACGTTTGTCCCAGGAAATCCTGCGCAGAGACACGGAGTCAGAGATACCAGGAGGGGCTGGGGGTTCAGAATCCAAGCCCAACCCTGGCGACGGCCAGGGTGGTTTTGAGGCAGCAGGACGTCGCGAGCGCCACTACCGGCATGTGCCCCTCTTTTGGGTACCGCTATCACTCCAAGGCCCACCTAAAGCCCCGCCCGGCCTTGCTCAGCCTCACCTTCTGCGAGTCCCAGTGGCAGCGGGGGGTGGGGTGGGGAAGGAGGAAAAGCATTGTGTAAGGGGCGCATACGTGAAACCGAGGCAGAAGCACAGGCAGAGGCAGGAGTGGAGGGCCGGGAGGGTTGGCTCGGGGCCAGAGGAAGATGAAGTCGGGATCACGAGGTAGGAAGGGTTCTAAGGAGGGTCGTTTAACACATTTGAGCACCTCCTATGTGCCTGGGCCAGCCCGTGAGATGACGCTCACTTACCGGTTTGGAGATGTTGGTTTTGGAGTCGACGTTGTACCTGGGAAGAGAGTGGAGCCTGCTGGGTGTGGGGCGGGAGTCGGGCTGGGTGGGAGAGAGGCGAGAAAGTGGTCGGGCTCTGAGTCCAGGTTAAAATTGTGGGTGGAGGGAGGGGAGGCCTTGGTCCCGAATTTAGAACTGGATCTCGTTTGGGGCAGGAGTCAGGGTTGGAGAGGGTCAATAACTGGGGCAAGGCCAGGTCGAGGGTGGTGCTGGGGGCGGGGCCACATCGGGGGCGGGGCCTAGATAGAGTTAAATTAGGGAGCTGATTTTGGGGCAGGGTCAGATCCAGGGAGTGAACTGGGTAGGGTCTGATCTAAGGGTAGGGCTGAGCTAGATTTGGGGGCGGGGATAAGAAGAGTGGAGCCATTCATATTGGGACCAAGCTGGGCCAGGGAAAGGAGTTAGGACACAAGGCGAGACAGGAACGGTCCGAGGCAGAATTCTGGGTGGGTCCAGGTCGGGGGCCGGGCCAAGCCAAAATTCTGGGCGGGGGGCTCACACATCGAAGCGTAGGTTTTGCTTTTCTTCGAAGAAATAGTCGAGGACGAATTTGCGCACAAAGTCTGGGTTCAGCGTGTTGTCGATCACCTCGGTTCGTCCGAACTGGACGGGAAGGTGGAGGGTCAGCTTGGTGCTTACAAGGGCCAGGTGATTTCGGGGTGCAGCTCTGAGCTGGGAGGGGGCTCTTGGACTCACCTCTCGCCACTCCTGGCTGGCCCGGCTCTGCGTGTAAAGCACCACCACTGCGGGTGGGGGCGGGACGGATGTGAGGTTGGCCCGCACCCCTTCCTTGTCCCCCCGCCTCTCAGCGGCTCCCGGACCCCAGATCCCCCCGTCCCAGCCCTGGGGTTGCCTACTCGGGTCGGACTTGGAGAAGGTGTCGAGGTCCAGCAGGTTCCTAGAGAAAAATGACAGGTAGGATAAAGGGTGGGTTACTCGAAGCTCAGCTTCTCGACCCTGCCCTCACACGGGCAAATGGCAGAGGTGTGGGGCTCAAGTCGTACCCTCCCGTCCCTGCCCCTCCCCCCTTACTCGCCATCGCCCGGGATCTGCGATTTCAGAACCCTGGACAGCGCCGGAAATGTCAGTCCGGGACGCGGACGCGTTCACACTGTCTCCAAAGGCCCAAGAAAGAAGGGTCTCCCCAGAACTTTGTTCTCCTGGGGGCCAGCTCCCGAATCGCCACGACCCACCTCTTTAGCGCAGGCTCAACCCTCTTTTGCGGGGTTGGGTTTTGTTCAAGGAGACCCCCCCCACCTCGACCCCGCCAAGGGTTCCCGAGTTAAACCTCTATCTTCTGGTCCCAGATGCCTTCCCCCCGGGGTCCACCTCCTGTCTGTGCTGAGCCCAGGAGCCGGGCTGGGGCTGGGGCTGGGGCAGTGCCTATGCCCTCCCCAGCGCGGCCCGCTCACCGGCAGGATACGGTAATTTCAATCTTGGTGGCCGGGACGCTGCGCTCGGAGACTCCGCTGAGAGACATGGCTGGCTGGTCCGGAGGTTGCGAGACCGGGGCTGCCGGGGCTAGGGGAGGCGGCACTGAGGCCAGCCCATGTGTCGTGGCGGAGGCAGCGGTGGCCGCACTCTCTCTAGCCCTGCGTTCGTTCCTGCCGCTGGCGCCCAGAGTGTGGCCGCCGGCAGCAGCGGCTCCAGATGGCAGCACAGCCCCGCCCGGCCCTGCGGGCGGCACCCGCCCCAGTGGAGCAGCAACATTCGAGCTAGGAACCTTACCCTATATCCCCGGCACCAATCAACTCCTGGGAGAGTCTGCCCCTCGTAACCCTCCCGAGTGCTGAAACCCAAGGCACTAGAGCTGTCCGCTGTGCTGAAGTATTTGGTGTGTCAGGGTCGTCGCCTCTTCCTGAGCCGCCCCCTCAACAATCTGCTCCACCTTCACTCCCAGCCTGCCTAGGTCTCTGAATAGGAAGTTACATCTGTTTTTACTAGCTGTGTGACCTTGGCAAGTTTCTCAGTATCTCTGTGGCTCAGTATCCTCATTGGTAGAAAGACCATAATAGCAGCTACTAAGCTATAAAATTTTGTCAAGATAACCCAAGAAAAAGGCTTAGCACAAGGGATATTCTTGTCAAGTCAATTCCAATTCATGATGACCGCATGTGTTACAGAGAACTGTGCTCCATAAGGTTTGTTGGCTGTAATCTTTACAGAAGCCTATCACCAGGCCCTTTAGTAAACAGTAAATGCTCAATAAACATTCACTGGTATTTGTCTTCTGACCTCTTTGAAGAGCTCAGTAAATGGTGGTTTTTACAACAATCTAGCACTGTGCAAGGTCTTTTGAATTCTCATGACTTCATGGTGTTAGAGATGCAGACACACTCTGTGCCACATTGTGGAAAGCCAACACCCCTGTTCCGCACACACACCAAAAGCTATCTCCAAAGCCTGGAAGTCAGCCCCTCCACAATACATAGTGCTCTGCAGGGCACTTACTTGTACCAGGACTGTGCTATTTGCAGACCTTGTTAAAAATGAAGACCTCACCCCTTTCTCCCAAAGATCCCAGCAACTGGAGGCTAAATCTCAGGCAGCCCTGAGACCGTGCACTGGTAAACAGGCTCCGAGCAGACTGGGGCTCACTCAGACCTGAGGACTTCTGCTCCCTCTCCACAGCCTTGTGGGTACATGTCCCCATCTCACTGAGGCACAATCATGGCTCAGGAGTTAAATCTCTGGTTCTCCCCGCTTCGCCCCTTCTTCCAGTCCAAGGGAGGACACTGAAAATCTCTCAAACAGCCGCATAAAGACAGCAACCAAATAAAGGTACAAGAGAGTGACTGTTCAGAAAGACTTATTTTATTTTGTGATCTGTGTCAAACCGCCTTATTCTCAGTGCAGGTGACCCTCCTCCCCAGGAAACAACAGTGAGGTCAGATGGGTGGTGTCTTCTGTGAACTCATGGCCTCCACAAGGCCTCAGGAAACCCCATACAGTTCTGAGAGTTGGAGGATCCCAGCAAAGACTGGGGTGGGTGAGAGGCAGTGACTAGAGGGGATGGCTGTCACCAGTCAGGAGGCTAGGGGTTGGAGGACCCTGTCTTTGGCCCTGCTGTGGATTTGAGGCTACCATGTGGATGATGGCAGGAGAAGGGAGTGAGGAGATTTTTTCCCCCTTTGCAATCTCCCTTCGCTGGGCATGGCTTTGATTCCACTCATGGCTCAGCTGGGAAGGGAGCAGGAAATTGTCATGGGCTGGCTGGTTCACAAGGCGCTGCTGCTGGTGCCCCGGAGTCCAACACCACGGGCAAACTGTTCCAGCAGGCCCCCAATGGCACCAGAAGGACTGGGGGTGGCAGCCCGAAGCCCCACTGTGCTGCTGTATGTGGCCAAGAAGGCTGAGCGCACCTCCTGCAGCCGGGTCTCCCGATCACTCAAGGCTGCCAGCCTGTGGGGAAGAAGGAAGAGAATGAATGGGTTACCACCCTCTGACAGGACTCAGCACCCTCATCGTCAGGGGAGCAGCCCTCACACCACACTACCTCTCTCCTGGCTTCCACAAGGCCAGTAGTAATCTTTTGGCCATACTACCCTTAGGGTCCAGGCCCCAAATATTTGGTCCTGTTACCCCATTACTCTCAACTCTGTTCTCACTTGGAAGCAGCAACTTCTGTTGGGTACTGATCTGACACTCTGTTGGGAAAATAACTTGTCTGTGATGACTGGGGCTGGGGTAAGGGGTTAAGATGAGAGGGAGGAGTCTACCCAAATCTGCTGCCTCCATTCTCAGTGAGAACAAGCTGAGGCTGGAGTCTCACACCTAATAGCAAGTGGGGGACCCTTTAACAGTGAGGGACCCCCAAGATGAGAAATCAGGCCTTGGCTGATGACAAGCTTCAACCTTCTTGGGACTGGAACCTGGAGCATCCTTGAAGGCAGCTGTTGGCAGTCCCCTGGAAGAACCCACAAGCCAGGCAGGGTCCATCCCTGGAAACCCCTGTGGCTCTAGCTGCCCCTCAGTCACTGGGTGTCCTCAGGCAAGCAGCTGGAAGAGGGTCAGCTTTTCCATCAGGATGCCTATTCTGATTCTACTGTCTCCTTTTTCTCCCGTGGCCTCCACAGGTACTAAGAGGACAAGAAGAAGCCCCTCTTCTCTGCTTGGCCTGGAACTATAAGCCAAGAAGAGGAACAAGCACATGCAAACCCAGGCCTATCAAAGCATGACTTGTACTGGAGGCTGTTTGATGTCTTGAAGACTATCAGAAGACATCCAAAGTATGAGCCACACCCCATCTCTGGACTCAAGAGATGTGCAGCACAGGGCTGGGATAGACATGGAGTCAGAGAAAAGGTCAGTACTCACATGGTTCCCTGTCTCCTGGAGAACTCTCTCCAGGGGCCACAGATTACAGGAGACAAACCCTCACATCCTATCAACCCCAGGCACTAAGACTAGCCCTGACCACCAACTTCACTCCACATTTTCTCCTAAGAAACTAATCCCTGAGCAATCCCTCCCTAGGGATTTGTCAGAGGTAACAGTTATGTACCTAATTCCCAAACCAAACAGGACTTGCATCCTTGAGCTTGAAGCTAAATGGGAGCTCTGGGTTAAGTCTGGGAGGACAGACCAGGCCTCAGTGTTGAGGCTAGACAGGACCCTAGGGAAAATTGATTGGTGGGAGTGATGTGTACGTATGTCTGAGAGAGAGAAATAGCAGCAGCAGTGCTGGGGCAAAGGAAAGTCAATTAGCTTTGGGAGCAGCACTAAGAAAAGGGAGTTGATACTGATTCCAGTAACACCACGAGCAACCCTAAGGTCTCTTCTGAAGTCTGGGGGAGATTCATGGCCCAAGGTCTACTTTACTAATTAGGTTTCACAAAGGCCAGAGGCCATGTGTCCTTCTCAGCTTCTGCTTATAGCATAAATGGGAGAAACTGAGGTTAGTGCTTTGTATTCACAGGGGAATACCCCAAGGTACATACCTGTGTATTCTCTCTACCCTCCATTTCCTGGGAGGCAGCAGGGAAGAGACCACCCCCATTTAGAGACAAGAAAACCAAACTCCAGAGAGGATACATGAACCAACTGAGGATCCACATCCTCAAGGGTGGGGAACGGGCAGACAGGGACTAGAACCACTATGGTGCCATTCTTCTCAAGAGATGAGCAAATAGGCTCAGAGAAGTCAAGGCTGATATCCCAAGACATAGCAGGTAAACAGAGGAGCTAGGATGTGGACTAAGTCTCTCTGATAACAAAGCCCAAGCACTGAACCTGTATACTGTGTAATCTTGCCAGGACTTGCCCCTGACCTCACCCTCTCCCTCCCCCCAGTCTTGGGAGGCCACACAGGATCTAGCCCTCCTCTGGGAATCACCTAGAAGCCAGAGGGTGGGCTAGCAACTCCGAGAGCTGCCTAAGCCCTAAATGTTCTGTTCTTGGGTGTTAGAATTGTCTATTTCAGTGACTAATGCCAGGTGAGGGGTGCTCTCAAGCAGGAGCAGAGGAAGAAAAGTTTGTGCTTCCTCTAGAAATGGCTCTGAGGCCAGTTTTGGTCATCGAAGCGTCCTGCAAAAAGGTGCAGACAGTGATTTTTTTTTTTTCAGGGCTTCAAAAATTGAAGATAGAGATCTTGTTTCTAGCTGAGAGGTGTGGCTACTGAAGAGGCTGTTCCAAGCACTAGTGGACTCTGCAGCCCTTCAGCTACTCTCTGGCTGCAGGGTCAGGGCTTGCCAACCCCATCCTGTCCAGTGCCTGGCCCTGCCTGCCTTCACCCAGCTCCAGGGGCCGTTTTCCTTCCGAATTCCTTATGCTTTGGTGGACGTGAGGTAATGAATCCTCAGCATCTGAAATTCATCCAGCCCATGGTGTGGAGGCAAAGGGAAGGGTTGCTGTGGGGCCCTTGCAGCTCATCTGAGGAGCAGGCCCTGCTCCCCAGGCTGCTGGAGACTCTCCCTGCCTGACATCCGTGGGGGGCAGAGTGGGCAGGGAGCAGGTGGCTTCCACAGAGGCAGCCATGCTGGCAGATATGCTGTAAGAGCTGAAAGTCCAGTATTAAAGCCTTGGAGAGCTAGAGGATTTTCTAGGTTTGGGGTCTGGTATGTCCATCCAGTTGTCTTTCCTGCCCAGAGGCAAAAGCAGAAGACAAAATAGGGAGGACACAATGGGGAAACTCTTGGTCCTGCTCAGAAGAGCACAGTGCTCAGGTGAGCCCAGCTCCTTTCTGCCTCTACCATACCTTCACTACTATCCCACTGTTCTGCATTCAAAGGATTCTCATGTCAAGCAATGCTTTGGACAGAAATAGAATCATCTATAGTTACAGTCCAGCCAGTTTTTCCTTAGGGAACCACCCCCAGACATTCATGGATGGGGTTTAGAGGCTAGGGTGAGCAAACCCTTCCCTCCTCCATGTACTTTCTGAGTAACCCACAAGGCCTCCTTCATACCTCAGGGATCTGGGACAGCAAGGGTTACTAAGCTGACATGTCAGGAGACACAAGCACCCCAAGGTCAGCTCCCTGGGGCCAGCCCCTGCTTCATTTCCTAACTAGCTTAATTTTTCATAATTTATTTTTCTTGTTGAGACTATACATAGCAGAACACATACCAATCCAACAGTTTCTACATGTACAAATCAGTGACATTAATTATGCTTGAGTTGTACAA